TTTTGGACCTCCTCTCACGATTTCAACGTGGTTTGAGTGTCCCTTTCCTCACTCGATTTCAGTGTATTTGGAATTTGACTTAGGTTGCATCGTATACGCGCCTGATTGTTTGTTTTTCCTCCTCTCATGATTACAGCATGGTTAGAGTATTTTCCTCTTTGCATTCACCATTGCATTTTGCATCCATTGCATCGTGCAATCTTGCGCACCTTACCTGCACTCATTAGTGCATTGTTCGCGCTGTCTTACGCACCTTACCTGCACTTGTTAGTGCATTGCATTGTTTAGTACCCCGAAAGAAAGTGAATCAAACATCTTATGAATTGTGGCATGGAAGAGTACCATCCTACAAATACTTAAAAGTGTGGGGGTGTTTGGCTAAAGTGGCTATTCCTAGTCCTAAAAAGACTAAGATAGGTCCTAAGACCATTGATTGCATTTTCATTGGTTATGCCAAGAATAGTAGTGCATATCGGTTTTTGATTCATAAATCAAAACATTCCGAAATGCATGTAAATACTATTATTGAATCTCGGAATGCATTTTGCTTTGAACATGTGTTTCCGAATAAGATTAGACAAAAGACTAGTAATAATAAAAGATCTTTTGATGCTATTACTAGTAATGAACAAGAACAAGATCAAGAACAAGAGCAAGATCAAATTGATGAAAAGAAACCTAGGCATAGTAAACGTGCTAGAACCTTAAAATCTTTTGGTCCAGATTTTCTAACATTTTTGTTAGAAAATGAGCCTTTAACTTTTAAAGAGGCTATGTCCAATCCCGAGGCTCCTTTATGGAAAGAAGCTGTAAACAGTGAAGTTAAATCCATCCTACAAAATCACACTTGGGAATTGGTGGATTTGTCACCAGGTTGTAAACCACTTAAGTATAAGTGAATTTTGAAAAGAAAAATGAAAACGAATGGATCAATTGACAAATATAAGGCAAGACTTGTAGTCAAAGGTTTTAGACAAAGAGAAGGTCTTGATTACTTTGACACATACTCACCAGTTACTAGAATAACATCCATTAGGATGCTAATTGCTATTGCATCTTTGTACAATCTAGAAATTCATCAAATGGATGTGAAAACCGCTTTCTTAAATGGTGAGTTAGATGAAGAAATTTACATGGAACAATAAGAAGGATTTTCTGTTCTAGGAAAAGAAAATAAAGTGTGTAAATTGGTTAAATCATTATATGGTTTAAAACAAGCGTCAAAGCAATGGCATGAGAAATTTGACAAGGCAATAATGTCAAATGGATTTAAAATTAATGAATGTGACAAATGTGTTTATATTAAAAACACATGTTATGTTATAGTATATCTTTATGTGGATGATATGGTTATCATAGGTAATAATAATGACATGATTAAAACTACTAAGAAAATATTGAATAAACATTTTGACATGAAGGACATGGGCATTGCTGATGTAATTCTTGGTATGAAAATTACCGAAACATCAAAAGGTTATGCTTTGTCACAATCTCATTGCATTGAGAAAATACTTGACAAATTCAGCAAAGATGATGATCATCTTGCTAGAACACCTGTGAATGTTAATTTGTTTCTTTCTAAGAATGTACATGAAAGTATTTCTCAATTAGAGTATGCCCAAATTATTGGAAGCTTAATGTACTTGATGAACTGCACTCGCCCGGATATATCTTATGTAGTAAGTAAATTAAGTAGATATACGAGTAACCTAGGAGTAGAATACTGGAAAGCAATTATAAGGGTTCTAAGATATCTCTGATTTACTCGTAACATTGGGCTAAATTATACTAGATATTTAGCAGTACTTGAAGGATACTGTAATTCAAACTGGATATCAGATACTAGAGACTCAAAGTCCACTAGTGGGTATGTCTTCACTCTTCGTGGTGCGGCTGTATCTTGGAAATCTTCCAAACAGACTTACATAGCTAGGTCTACTGTGGAATCAGAATTCATAGCTTTAGATAAAGCTGGGGAAGAAGTAGAATGGCTTCGTCACTTCCTTGAAGATCTTCCAATATGGCCAAAACTGGTGCCTGCTATGTGCATACATTACAATAGTCAATCAGCAATAAGTAGAGCACAGAGTCATATGTATAATGGTAAGTCCTGACACATTCGTCGTCGACATAACACCGTGAGACAACTACTCTCTAATAGAATTATTTCCATTGAATATGTGAAGTCTAAAGACAACATGACGGATCCACTAACCAAAGCGTTAGTAAGAGAGTTAGTTGAGAACTCATCGAGGGAAATGAGACTTAAGTCTATTAAATAAGAGTTACCACAATGGCAACCCAACCTAGTTGACTGGAGATCCCAAGATCTAGGTTCAAAAGAACAACCGAGTTGTGTATGACTCAGAGGGATCACTGGGGAGTCAAACTCCTACCCATTTCTATGATGAAATAGTAATGTCTACAGCGTTTTAAGTTAAGTAATACTTTTAATGATTATTATATCTAGGTAAACGTAACGCCCTCAAAATAACAACAATAAACCCATCAGATAAGACATGCATTTACATATAAACTAACCACATTCTTTTATTCATTAGAGTTCCATTACATAAGTATTACATGTTAACATCAAAACAAAATGCCCTACGGGCTTACAGCTTTCCAAGTTAACACTTGGTTACAACAAAAGAGTACTAACTTAGTGATGTCTGCAGCGTTTTAGGTTAAGTAATACTTTTAATGATTCTTATATCTAGGTATACCTAGTGGTGTATGGCAGGATACTCTTCATAATAATCACCTATATGAGTGTGAATTGGGTTGATTCTATGAGATTTGTGAAGGCCTACAATTCTCTAGAGCACTTATGAAAGATCAGGTTGTTCAGAGCCAAAATGAGCACAATAGTGAGAACTAAACTATGTTTGGGGATATACTATGTGAGTTCTATTGTGTTGGTTTACACAAACGGCTGAACAGTTCAAGATATCATGTTCACTGGTTATCTAGTAAATCCGATAGTGTCTCACAAGGGAAGGTTCAAAGCCAAAAGCTACCTATCTTTTGCAGAATATTTTCAATTTCTGTACTCTCTGTATTTAGATCATGTTGTTGCATTTTCTCTCTTCCAAATTCCATTCATGTAGGGGATTGTTGGAAAAATGGTTTTATATAGGCTTATTTTGGGCCAACTTTGAGTCCAAAATTGAGTGGGCCCCAAACGTCTTTTGGGGTGGGTCCGAAAAGGTGACGTGTTCCTTGCCACATGGCAAGTCACAAGGTGAAGATGGTTTGTCAAAACCATTTATGAGTGAATGAGAAGTTGACGTCGTTTTCGGGTTCGTGGAATAGACATTTAAAGAATTAAATGTGGATTTCCTTGAAATGGATTGTCCCACATTGAAACTTTAAGAGAGTTTTTGTTTGTATATAAGCTCTAGATTATAACACTTGGGTTGGGCCCCAAAGGGCACTCCAAGTTTGTAGAAGGGAGGAGTTATGGACAATGTGAACCTTAGCCCAAACCACCACACACGCGTGCGCTCCGCCGCAGGTTGAGCCGTGCCGGGTGTGGGTTATGGGCCGGGTCAATTCTAATATTAATTTTTTAGACAAAATTTATTTGAATTTTCAATGAAATCAAATTCAAATTTTGTGCCAAAAATTAAATTAATTTTCTATCCATATGTTACTCAATTTCCAGTCCATTTTTCAGCAAAGTTCAAAAGGTTCAAACTGTTTTAATAGTGTTAAAAACTACCTAGTAGTTTTAAACAGTTTTAAAAACTGCCAACAGATAAAAAAACTGCCAGCAGATCTGTTCCTTTGAATTTTGCACCTGTTGACTTTGTTTGTACCTGTTCGGATCTGTTTGGTTTTGCCTATAAATAGAAGGCTGTTCCAGCAGTTTTTTGCCTCCAAAAACAATCTGAAATTTTCATTTTGCTGTCCAAATTTTGTTCCTTTGCATTATTTATTATTTATTCTAGTTTTAGAGAATTTTAAAGAGAGTATAGAACACAAGATTCTAGTTCGCGGGACAAATTTGTTTGGAGTGCTACTACAATTTTGTGAAGATCATTGTGTCCTGGGAAATAGACGCCACTTAACCGTAAGCACCGTATCTGGGTGAATCTGTCTTAAGGACAGAGTGTCACACATTCGACTTGGTCTTTAAATATTCATTCGGTTCGGTAAAAATAAATTCGGTATGTAATTTATTTTATTTGTTTGATTTGTTTCAATTTATTTATTTTTTCACATAAGATTATTCCAACAGTTCAAAAACTTGAAATATGCATGTCTCCAGGAATCTTTGAATAATAAAGTGGTGCAGACAACCGAAAATCCGGCAGCATATCCTAAGTCAACATTAACATAGAACCATGGCATTATAGGACCATTTTCTGCTTCTGGAATGTTATTTTGCTCATTGCCTCCATTAATTAGTGGGCACATCCTTAAAAGTACTTCCCCACAAAGATTAGGATTCCCCTTGTTCGATTTCTTGTCAAAGGTAGCAAGTTGACCCCTCGATGGTATGTCCTTGAATATTGTTGTTTGCCACACTGAACGAAGACAAGAAATAGAGATTTTGTAGTGACATTGGGATTTCTCCAGACAAATGATTCTCAGAGAGGTCTAATTTCGTTATAATAGTAAGATTAGATATTTGTCCTGGAATGCTGCCTGAGAAGTTGTTTTGACTTTGATCCAATACATGAAGAAACTTCAATTGACCAATCTGAAGAGGGATATTGCCACTTAGGCTGTTTTTTCTCAATCTTATTGTTGGTGGTATGTTGGTGAGACCAAACTTTGGCTGTTGTTTCTCGTAGTGGCTAGAAATCAGTGCAGACAATCTACAAAGTTCTTGAGGAAATTCACTTGAAAAGAGGTTGTATGCCAAATCTAGATAGAAAAGTCTGGGTGGAGATCCCAAACAACTAGGTATTGAGCCTGTGAGTTGATTAAAAGAAAATTCCAAAACCTTGAGTGTCTTGAACTTAATAAGCCAGGATGGCATTCTTCCAGAAAGCTGGCACCCCCCAAGATGTAGAAGTTGTAGTTTTTGAAACCCATCTGAATCCATTATGCTTTTTCCATCTGGCATTGCTTCATACATGAAGTTTTGAGAGAGGATGACAATCAGAATCCTAATCGCCCCTGTTATGTTAATTAGCCTGTTGGCAGAAAGTGTGAGGAAGGACAGAGATTGCATTGCAGCCATTTCAGGCACAATCTGTCCTTCCAGCTCATTAACATCCAGTCGAACGACTGTTAAGGACTCAATGTGTACAAACTTAATAGCAAAATACCTCTTAAACTTTTGTTTCCCAAGTCAAGAGTACTAAGTTGTTGGAGTCTTGAGAAGTCAACAGCCAATATATCTCCTTCCAAGAAATTGTTCCTTAAATTAATTGTGATAAGATTGATGCAGTGCATCAGTTATGAAGGTAAATTACCAGTAAGCTTGTTTGAGTGTAGAGGAAGTCTTTCCAGTCTGGAAAGCTTCTCAATGTCCTGAGGAATCTCGCCATCCAATTCATTTGAGTAGTGCTCAAAAATGGTGAGGTTGGAGAGCTGAACAAGCTCATCACCAAGGGGTCCTGATAGATAATTGCCAGGTAATGATATTTCTGTTAATGTTGTTGTGTTGTATATATCAGATGGAAGCAATCCTGTGAGAAAATTGAAACCTGCACGGAAAACCTCCAGTTTGAAACATCCCCTTAAAACATCAGGAATCTGGCCAATGAATTCATTGAAGGAGAAATCCAAGAACTTGACGTGGCTGGAAGAGTTGTATGTATGCGAAGGAATTTGGCCACCGAATTTTGACATTAAAATATATTAGATTTGTTGCCACCTTAAAGAATGAAGGTTTAATGATGTCAATAAGGCTATTGCTTGATAAATCTATTATCTGGATGGATTGGGAAAACAATGAAGGTGAAGACGGAAATCCACCAGAAAAAAGATTAAAATTCAGGTCTAGTGCTGTGATGTGACTCAAAGACGAAAACAATCCATAAGGGAGAGGACCAGAAAGCTGATTGTGTGAGAGATTGAGCTGAGAGAGATACACAAGGTTCGTTAGTGAGGGAGATGCATAACAACTCAGGCCTCTAAAGGGTAGCCATAACTGGGTAATCTGCCCATCATGATCACAAGTAATCCCTTCCCAGGGGCAACAATCAATACCAGAAGACTAATTTAGAGGAGTAGAGATGTTGAGGGAGAATGACAATAGAGCATCATTGTCAAGCTGGTTGCAAGTGTAGCATAAACTGACAAAACAAGAGAGTAGAATTAAAAGGAAGCCAAAAAGGCATCTTTTGGGCAGAGGAACTTAGCTTAATTTTTGTGAGATCAAAATTTTCGCAACTAGTGCTATCACTTCTAGCCTCTTTGTCATGGTGGGTGGAACTTCGCTTAATTGTTTACTAGGGTCAGCTAGGATTTGGTGAAACTTACAAGCATAAAAAGTTCAAGTCTTCAACTTCCGAAAACACAAAAAGTACCATGTATTTTTGTCCTCAACCTTCAATATAAAAGTAGTAGGTTGTTGGGTCTTCTGTCAGCATGTGCATTGATAAAGTTAAAAAAACTAGAAAAGATTAAAGAACTTGCAGCAATTGTTTAAAGAAAAATGATATTTAATGGAAGCATAGAGAAAATTGATGGGTTTTTGTACCACAAAAAAAATCATGTGGAATTCGAGCAGTCATTTTGGACATGTTTCTTTTATTGTTTGAAGTGTCTTTTTTTTTTTTCTCTAATAAATTACAAATACATTTTTAGAAGTTTATTAAAAGGAGTAGTTTGCCTCCCGTCCTTAATCGGACTGGACGGTATTGTTCGGCCTGTGTGGGCTCACCACGGGTCTCGTTTTGATGATCTGAACCGTTCAATGTGTAAAACTCGTTGAGTACTACATGCATGTAAAAAAGCACATTGATTGGATATCGATAGCTATCTCATCTTATCAGTTTTTAATCAACCGTTAGTTTGTTCACCGTCTATTTTTTTTTTTATACAAACTGATTTGACCACATAACTATCGTTATCCGATCAACGTAATTTTTTACAAGCATATAGTACTCGACGATTTCTACACATTAAACGGTTCGAATTATTAAAATGGAACCTTTGGTGAGCCTCATGGGCCGAACATCACCGTCCAGTCCGATTTAGGACCGAAGACAAGCTGCTCCCTTGATGAAATATCAAATTCTCCCTGTTTAATTTAAAAAACTACAAATACTTTGTCTTAGAGTTTGTTTTTTTAGTAGTGCTAATAGAAAAATCGAAAAACTTAAGTTTAACTCAAGTGGTTGGTAGGTATGGATTTCATTTCCCGTGTAAAATTATTAGGATTTCTTTACTAATCTAGAACCACTATAGTGCATTGTCTATAGTAAAACTTGTAGTGCCTGAATTTAAAAAATATTTATAAAAAAAAAAAGAAACTCATGCCCCTTTTCTTTCTCTTTCCCCCAAAATGATTTTGTTTTGGGGCACTATAACTGCACTACAGGCAATGTATGGTAGAGGATCTAGAGTCTTTCTTTGCTCTATTTTGTGAGTTTCTTCGTAACAGAAAAATTTGGGACCCCCGGAGACCCTAGCACCCCCAGTGAGAGCTGGTTAGCCAAATTTTTTTTTTCTTCTTCAATCACCAACCTCCACGGATGTGTGGGGAGGGACTGGGAGTCTCAATCAACTCTCTCTTCATAATTGCATATTGTATTTGTGTTCATTATTATGACTGCAATTCATTAGTATTCATTGTAATATCATATATGAATATAAAAAATCTTGCCCTTAGCCAAAAACTAAAAATAGAAATAAAAAATGCTAAAATATCCTTTCATACCAAAACCAAAATTACCTTACCCATATATAGTATTTGGTTCACTAGAATGAAGCAGAATGTGATGAAATAGTCATTTCTTAGAATTCCTTATAGAATAATCATTCTCTTACAATGGTGAGTGATGATATTATTCGTGAAATATTTGTATCATTTTTTTAGTGAACCAGACATGAAAATAGATTTCATAATGGAATCATTCTATTCTAGTAACGTTATTGAAAATAATGAAAATTATATTATAAATGGAATCATCATTCACTATTGTAAGAGAATGATTATTTCATCTGGGAGTCTAAAGAATGACCATCTCATTCTATTCCATCTCATTTCAATGAATCAAATAAAACTCTTTGATAGCTACTTTGGCATCTAACGGTTAATTTAGGTATTTTAAAGAGAATTGTTGTTGACATCCCGTTAATTTATGAAAAATGTTACAATTTATTTATGGGTACTGTTATGGTACGTACACACCCTCAAAATGATGTGTACTATATGACATTTGTGGGTTGGGTTACTAAAAATGTCAGTTATAACACCCCAAAAAATAAACAAATAAAAAAATTATAAACAAACACTACATAAGATATAATTAAAGAACTATGGGATGATAACTAAAATAATATCATAACCAATATCACAATGAATCATAACTAACTCCACAAAATGTCATAACCAAAGGGATGAAAAATAAGTTTAGCAAATGAACTAAGATTGCATGGCAATCAGATTGAGAAGGGAAAAAAACGAAAGGCCAAAAAAAAAAAAAAAAAAAGAAGTAAACAGAAATGCATAGAAATGTTATATTATATTATATAATTTATATACCTTCCTAAGGGTATATCTTTCCCAGGAAGCTGAACAAACAAAACAAAATAAAAAAAGACATAAAACAGATCAGAGGAGATGAACCTGTATCTTCCCTAAGAAGCAGCACTTCGGTTGAAGACGTAAACAGATCAGAGGCAGCACTTAAATTTTGTGTTGAAGAACAAAGGGGCAGTCGGAGAGTCACTGATTTCAACACAGAACAGAGGCAGCCTTGAAGATTCAACACAGGTTCATCTCCTCCCTCTTCCCTCTTCTCTGTTCTTGTAAGGATTTTCTTCAGTAATTAATATGGTTGACCATTTAGGTTATCACAATTCTTTTGGAATGTGGGGGTCTTTGAAATGTTCCTGGATTGTCTTATTTGGCATTTAAGTTCACCTTCTTGTGGTATTTTGTTTGCCTTTTGCATTGAATCTCTCTTTGATGGCCAAGAGGTTAAGCCATAAAACACCTTTTTCAGATCTTTGATGGCCACAAGGTTAAGCCACAGAAATGCGTTTTTCAGACCTTGGCAATTGAGAATGGAGGATGAAGCAATGCCAACTTCTTTCATCATATATTTTTTATTTACTGCCCCCTTGAATTAAATTGGTAAATTTTGAACAGTTGAAGTTGCATAACATCATTGAGTATGATGGTTTTCAAAAGATGAAGATGAGTTTTGTTTTCAAAAAGGCATGGCATGGCATGTGCATTCATCTCTTAAGACTTGTTTAAAATGTATATACTTTGTTAAGGATTTCCTACTAGGCTTTATGCTCACCCTACGGGATTATTGTGCAGGAAAAGATGTGGTGATTCCGCCCAACTGAGGGTGTAGAAATATGTGTTGGGAGTACAATGCTCTCACTTTGTGTGACTCTGTTTTGTAAGCCAAGGGCTATATTTGTATAGTTTGAATAACCAATTTGTGTAACCGGGTCTAAGCCTTGGAAACTTGTAAACCCATGAGGGTATTTATTTGTTTATGTCATCTTGATTTGAGGTGAATGTAGTATCGCATGAGGACTATTTGTATCATGTATTGTAAGCGTGAAGATTTACTTTCAGTTTTACTTTAAAGAACCATGATTATTGTATTATCATTTGGGTATGAAAATTGGGGTGTTACAGATTATTTGGTTCTTTGCCTATTTCCTGTATTTTCAAGGCAACAAATACATCAAATACACTCAAGATATTTGAATAAAGATTAATGTAAAATAATTAAGTTAAATTTAAGTTTTTAATCATTTTAACACTTGAAGATAAATCAAAACATAAAAACTAAAATCATCAAAATATAAGAGAACCTTTTTCAGATAGGTTTGTAATGTTATTAATGGTTTGATTTGTATATGTCATTTCTATCCAACCTAACAACACAAGCAACAAACCATTAACACAACCAACAAAATCATTAACAAAAACATGGGTTAATTCATATAGGCACACAAGCAACAAAATCATTAACAAAAGCATTCATTCCATTCCATTTAGAAAAACCATTGGCATCCATTCCATTCACAAAAACATATATTCCATTCCAAGCATCAGCCATTCACAAAAAACAACACCATTAACAAGCACAAAAAACATAATTGCATTGATCTGAATTTAGGCACAACATACTTTACAAATGATTGACATCATCAACATCAATTCTCAAAACAGTTAACAACATGAACATGTGTGAAATAGTTAGCAACATTCACATCCCAAAACAAAGTATACCAGTTTGTCTATCCCAAAGCAAAAGTCTAACAGTGTATAACATCAACAAATATAATAGAAAAGTCATTCCCAAAAAGTCAAACACAAAATATGTGCCCAAAAAGTCATCCTGCCATGGCATGACTACTGCTTCCCATCACCTTTCTTTTATTTCTTTTCTTTTTTTTTTTTTTTGGTTACAACTTCATGGAGCTAGATAATGTCACATTCTTCTTCCCATTGGACATGAAAGAGGGTAGACCTGTAGTTGAGGATGGTGCAGCTTCCTTTGGCCTCATGAATGCATCTAGGGGTGACCTTATGTTGACACCTTGTCCTGCTGATCTTGTGTTTGATGCACCAATGTTGATAGGTGGCCTTGGTAGCTACATCATTGGTGGCCTTGCCTGCTTCATCATTGTTGCCCTTGGATGCTGCTTTGGTTGTGGCCTTGCTTGCTTCATCACTGGTGGCCGATTCTCAATTCCCCTTTAGAAAGAACTTAAATCCCCTAACTCTTGATATTCAATTCGTCGTATGGGACAATTTTTGGAACCCTAATCGCATTTTGTTGAGTTCGGGCTGGTGTAAGTGGCGGGAAAGGTGTAAATTGACCACTTAGCCCTTCAATCATGTACGTGTGTGTGGCATGTGACTATTTTTGGATGGAAAAGGTGGCTTTTGTTACCAATTGGCCTTTTGTGAGATAACTCCGCAACTTGGAGGGTGTTAATGTGCCTAATTTGAAAGTTCAGGGACAAAATTGAAACACGCATGAAAGTACATGGACCATTTGTATAATTTACCCTTCAATGTTTTTACATAAATTAGTGGCAATATTAAAAAGTCAATTAAATTTGAAAGGTCATAGACCAATTAAATTGCACCAAACCGAACTGTTTTAATTGGTGAGGTTTAGTGCGATTTGATGGAAAAAACAGTCTGTATCGGTGCTTAAAATAATAAAACCAACATTATCAGTTTGGTGAAAAATATTAGCTAAATACCAACTATACCAAACCAATTGCATCCCTAAAATTGAGAACTCATCAAATCATTCACCAAATTTGAAATTTATGAAAATTTAAAAAGATGAAGCATTAGAGATGATTTTTTTTTTCCATCAAATTTATGAAAAGAGAAATTTAGGATAAGAGGGGAATTATTAAAAAGATTTTGATGAAAATTTGATGAAAGAATTGGAGTGCTCATATCAAATAATCTTTTTACTCAAATTTAGTATAGTAATTCTAGTTTAGACTCGATCCATTTGATGTTTTGGATCCGAGTTTTATTATCTTATATAGTTGTTCATGTCTTGTTTCCACTTATTTCTCTTTGAGTTTGGCTATTAGGATGTGTTGGTTGTAATTGGAACAGGTTGGTAGCTTGTTTTTCAAATTGTTGTTGCTCAGAATTTTTCTTTTTCACTCGAGTGACACTTCTTACACTTGAGCGATCTCTGAGAACTTTTAGTACTTTTGCAGGTTCGCAGAGATACTGAGAGTTTGCATTTTTCTCTCGAACAGTATTTCTTGCGCTCTAATGGTGTTCGCTCGAGCAAGCCTTCTTATGCTCAAGTGGTGGTTCACTGTTGTAAATCTTTTGGGAGTTTGTGAAGCCCCCGAAATATGAATTCACTTTAAAAACCCTAATGTTGAATTATTTTCTTAAAGCCCCTCGGTTACTTGAATTAATTCGAATATTGTCGGTTAGCATTACTATTTTTTTTTTTATCGAAACAGGAATTACCCTAGCCGGATTAGGTCTCCTAACCTAATTTAATTCTACATAAGTTACATGTATTTAACTCAAAGCCCTCACTCTTTATTTAAATTCAAAACTTACCCCAAACTAGTACTTGTACCTTGTACCTTGAAGTACCATCAATCTTGTAATATATATATATATATATGTATGTATACACCTTGGAGAGTGTGTCTTGGAGCCAAAAATTGATAAAAGAGTAACACCATCACCCTTCCCAAGGGCCGGCCACCATAGGGAGAAGAGAGGAACCATTTTCAAAGTCATTGATCATGATATTCTAGGAAATCCAAGACCTAGTACCCTAGACCTACGATGATGTTTCCAACACTAGTTTCCTTTTAACTAGGAACCAACCAAATGTTGCCTAATCCTATGATTTAACTCCCAAATCACTCCTATCCCATTAGATTCCAAGCAAGATCCTAACCTTTCCATCATTTTCCAACTAGAGGGCTTTTAGGAAATTTTACAACAAAATTTGCCTATAAATACCAACCTCCCCTAAGCTTGGCAAGCACAAATAACACACACACACACACATTCGGCTAGAGAGAGGGAGGAGAGCAAGAGAGAGAAGTCTAGAAGAAGGAAGAAGAGAGCTTCTTGGGCAAAGCTTAGTAGGTAAGCCACAAACACAACCTTCTCTTTCATTTTCCTTTTTTTCAATATATGTTTCTAAGGGTTCTAAATAATGTTTTCAGATCTTTTATTACTGAGTTCTCATGTTAAAAATGCTAAGGGTTGAGTATCGATTTCATCTCTCTTGTATTTTCCCCATTTTGGCACAAAACCATCTTCTTTTGTACCAATCTCTCAACTTTTCAAGAGCAGTCCTTCAAACGAATTTTCTGAGTTAAACATGTGATATTTAGCATATTTTCTTCACAAAAGAAATGAAACTTTCCCCCGGTGGAACCCTTTTTTCATAAATCTTCTTGTTTTGGGCAAAGCACCTTAGCATTTGTTTTTGCATCCCACTTCCAGAAATTCTAGAAAAATGTAAAAAATTATTCTGGACCTCTATTTTATGTCAAAACCTTCCTTAAGGAGTTAGCTTTCAACTAAAATTGGTTTCATCGAAAAACATTAAGCGGTTTGCAAGAAAATCAATTTTTCGTAACGGTCAACGGATCTGGACGGAATCTGGACAGCACTGGCATATTTTCTAAATAACTTAGAACCTGGAAAAGCAACCCCATTTCCGAAAAATGTTCTAGAAACTAGATCAAATTCCCTACGAACCATAGGAAGACCAAGTCCGTTGGGGGATCTAAAATAGACTATGCGATACTAAATCTGGAAATTTTGTTATGTGTGGATGTTTTATACCCTTGAGTTCATGAGATTGCTTATTAGCTGATGATCATATCTTGGCATGATATTATATATGTTGTGGTTATGTTATTTACCCTTCTCATCTTAAGAATGCATGCTTACATGCATATTATTGTCTTATAAGTTGGACTAACCTTGATTTAAAACATTTAATTCAACGAGAAACCTAATCGGGAGGGTATTGGATTTTTGAGCACTTGAGTAATGGAAAGATGAGAATATGTGATATATGGATTGTTGGGATGCGTTCCCTATTTGAAAGTTGAAGTCTTGCGCAAGTGGTTTTCGGAACCCTTGAACGGAGCGGTTATATTCGGACCCTAGGTGGTTTGGTGTAAGGAGGGATTCGGGCAAGGCCCTATTTTACCGTCTCTTTTGAGGCCCTGCAGTTGGCGCTACGTGGTACATAACCGCTGGTAGGCATCCGAGGTTAGTTCTGCAACAAAGCAGCAAAATAGGGGGCATACCGAATAATCCACGTCTGATTCTTGTGGTTGGGGGGACGAAATCTCTTTGGGGGATTTCTAGTTGCTAACAACCTAACTTAACCCTTTATTTATTTAATCGAGTATTATGCTTTATTACTTGATGTTATAATGGTGATTGTGTATTGGACTGGGAAAAAGGGGTAGAGTGTGTGTGTGTTTACTGGGCATTCAAACCTCATGGCGTATCATGCCAAGTGACGAAGCGGAACTCATAGCTGGAGACGACGAGCCTGGAACTTTCGAAGACTGTAGACACCCCATTTTTGACCGTCCTCAAGACTTGGACGTCACCGCTTGAACACCCGGTGATCATCCTTGTTTGTGTTTGTCTTGAGTTCCCGGAGGTCTCGGCTACGCGCCTTGCCTTAGGACCTCTCGACTCGACTGTTTTGTGTTTGGTTTTGCACCAAACACTTGTGTTTTTGCTGTGGAGGGCAGGGAATGGCTTATTGGCCATCCCCACACATCACCGGCCATGGCTTGAGGCCACCGGCTGTGTTTTGTTGCCACCGACCAAATGTTTGGCCGGCCGGCACTATAGATGGTCGACCGGCCATCTTTTTTGGCCAAATTGCATTTTTGGCCGGCCGACCACTGTGCATCTACTTTTGCAGATATTTTATGCTAGCTGGCATACACTTTGTTCCCCTCCATACACGTGTATGGAGGGATCTCCCTCTTGGCTAGCTTATCTTGTAAGCTTGCAAGATTGAACCTTCTATAAGAGGAGGCCTCTTCTCCCTCTTTTAGGTTAGACAAGATTTTGATAGAGAGCTCTGGTTTTAGGGTTTGAGTTGTGTATCTATCCTATATGTATATCTCCCTCTCTCTTGCATTTGTGTGTGTTTTGTCTTACTTTTGTGCACAAACACCCACCATTACACCTTCCTTTAGCTACTGAGGTACTGAGAGGCTGTTCTTGAAGTTTTTAGACTGGTTTGGAGCCAAAGAAGCAGCTGGAGTGCTGTTCTTGAAAGAGGTCTTCAAGGGTAAGGACTTTACCTTTAAATACCCCATTTTTGCATAGCTTTTTTACCTATCTTGCAATTGTTCTTAGGCTTTGCATATAATATATAAAAGTTCTGTTTTTGAGTCCTTTAAATAGTTGGTTAAGGGTGTTTTGAGCCTTGAGGTTGTTTGACCCCTCTTAGGGCTTATTTGACCCCTTTTTTTGTGCCATTTTGGTGAGCTTCGGGACCATTGTGTTTGGGCCTCCTCACCACTGAAATCTTGAGGGATTTCAGTGGTGAGGATG